TTATATATATTATATATATATATATATTATATATTATATATATATATATNTATTTATATTTATATATATATATTCATATATATATATACATATATATATATAAATATATATATATTCATGTGTATTGTTATTTAATTTGAACGCACATAAGTATTTGTGGTAGTGAGCTGACGTGTATGGATGGTTGTCGTGTGCCTGATAGATAGGTATAATGTGCATACACACATCTGTATAGTTCAGTTGTGTACACCTATCTGGAATATAAGTTCCGCACATGCTACGATGTATATGTGTTGTCTTACTAACCACCTTTTCCGCTGCCTCTCATCTCATCGGGTGCTGTTGCACTGCTTCACGTATGACATATACAGACAACTATAATCACAGAAAGCAAGACACAGATACTGAGGGGCGGGGGAGAAAGATCGAGAGCCAGACCCAAAGCCAAAGCTAAATTGCCGGCCAATTCTAATTCGGATCATGTTGGTGGGTTTTTTGAAGCCAACTCGGACCCGATTTTGAGGCCCGACGATACGGTGTTTCGTGCGTGGGATGCAGAGGAACGGCGAGCACAGAGGTCTAGAGCCGCACGGCTGGTCAGAGATACTATGGTAGACTGGCACAAGTACAGTCTACTCAGGAATGAAAGTAGGTGACTGCATGTGTGTATATGTCATAAATATACAGTCTATTCAGGAATGAAAGTAGGTTACTGAATGTGTGTATATGTCATAGATATACAGTCTACTCAGGAATGAAAGTAGGCTACTGCATGTGTGTATATGTCATAGATATACAGTCTACTCAGGAATGAAAGTAGGTTACTGCATGTGTGTATATGTCATAAATATACAGTCTCCTGAAGCTTGGGTTTAGCTATCACGTGGTTCTGTGGGGGATGTGTTTATTGGAATGACATATGTGTTGGCTTTGGCGTATGTTGTTATGAGGTGCCATAGTGGGCTAGCACAGGCAGTACTATGGGATGTCTCTTGCACAGGCATGCTTCTTTAGGCTCGACCGTTCTTTGTAACTACACTTGGGGCTGCCCTATTGGTGGCCCATCCCACACCCACACACTCACACACACACACACACACTCACTCACACTCACACTCACACTCACACTCACACTCACACTCACACTCACACTCACACACTCACTCACACTCACACACTCACTCACACTCACACACTCACTCACACTCACACTCACACACTCTCTCTCACTCTCACCCACACTCAGGTATCACTGACTGGCGCGATTACGAGCTCATGGGCCTGGGTGGGTTCTGCCTGGATATAAATAGCAGCCAATCAGAAGAGAGCTGCGGGAGTGACGCGGAGGAAGATCTGCAGGAGATCCCAATGACTCAGATGGCGCCACAGAGCGAAATCAGTGCCAAACGACGGCTGTCGGAGGAGGAGATAGACCTCGGCCTGTCCAAGGTGAGTATGACGGATGGTCAGGTTAAGACTGAAACCCTAAAACCCTATAATAATAAAAAGTACCGTACTGTACTTGCCTATGACCATCCATTGACAATCTGTCGCAGCAAGTGCACGCAACGCCGTGGGTGCGTGTTTTGTGATTGACACTGGTCGGCCTAAGGTTATATTGCCTACATTGCTCATGCTGTGCGGTACAATGCCTTGGACCATCTACCTGTGTACCCGGTTAAGGGACCCAACCCGGGCTCTCCTTTAACCGGGACATTGGTCGGCCGAAGGTAGTTTTACCTACATTACTCGTGGTGTGGGGTATAATGCCTTGTGCCATCTACCTGTGTGCCTGGTTAAGGGACCCAACTCGGGCTTTCTTTAACCGGGACATTGGTCGGCTGAAGGTAGTATTACCTACATTACTCATGGTGTGCGGTATAATGCCTTGAGCCATCTACCTGTGTGCCCGGTTAAGGGACCCAACTCGGGTTCTCCTTTGACCGGGACATTAGTCGGCTGAAGGTAGTATTACCTACATTGCTCATGGTGTGCGGTATAATGCCTGGGACCATCTACCTGTGTGCCCGGTTAAGGGACCCAACTCGGGCTCTCCTTTAACCGGGACATTGATCGGCCGAAGGTAGTTTTGCCTACATCCCACACGCTCCGAAGGAAGTTATTGTCCACGAACGCTAAGTCTACTAGTGTCCCGATTTGAACCTGAAAGATTTATATTAGAATTTTAAGCCCCTTACGCATTGTATCACTATACATCCACAATATTCTGGCAGAGATTTCACACCTCCATGTGGGATATGGCGTCCGCCACTGACTCTGCTGTTCCTGAACGCGAACTCTACTTTGTTCAGGGCTTGCTAACGTTTTCACAGGTATATTTATCATCATATTTTTATTTATTTTACATGTATAAATATTTATACATTTATACGTATATATATGTATGTATGTATGCAAATATATATATATACATA